TAATACCTTTATTAACTTAGAAAAGTGAATCTTTTTTACAAGCTTTTGTCACAGCTTATGCCACCTAATATTAATTCATTATTTATGTATTATGGGTATCTGACTAGTTAAAGTTCAATCTCTCTCTGCAAGGGAAAAATGCCACATGAAACTATCACTATAGTTTATTCATATTGCTACCCTTTCTTAGATATACTTGTCAGAAACATGATTTTATTTTTTGTTCATCTTAAATCTGTTGTTGTTGTTGATTGCCTTCAAGTCAAGCAGGATTCATAGCAGCCCAACGAACAAAAGGCCTGAAGCCCCTCTATAACTATCGACATTTATCAAAGTTCATAGAGCTTCCAGAGGCATGTTGTTTAGGAAGTGGATGCCACTCCTGCTTCCAAACTTGTCTTAAACTGGGAGCTCCACCCAACACTACCCACTGTGGGTAACCGTTATGACATTTGCCACCCCAGTGGCACAAGGTTCAGCATCACAGCAACCCCAGGTTACCTCAGTACAACATACTGACAGAAGAGTGCTGTACCACTTAGAAGAATGCTCCTCCAAAATATAATAACAATAGCGTCTTGTTGACACTAAAGAACAGGCTTATGTATTTTCCTATTACTATTTTGAATAGGAAGAGTAATGTTTGCTGGAGCAATTTAGACAATGGAGAAGAGTCTTAAATAAAAATTCTATTCTCTGATTCTCTCAGCTTTGCCCCAGGTCTTTGTCCCATGGGCTCCCTCCTTTCATGAACACCCAGGACTGCCATATGTCCTTCTGCTACCTGCTGATATGAAAACATCATGCCAAAGAGGGCAGCTGCTGCTTATGCACATCCTTTTGTATTGGAATGTAGTCCACCAAGTATAAAATCTCCCTCTTTCAAGCATAAATTCAGTAGTTCATCTTACATTCAAAAAGTCTTGCTACCATTACAACTACAAGGTATAAGTACTGTTACAACACTTTGATCACTGGAAAAGAAACTTTATAATTACTGTCAGTCACTTGGATCCTCATCACCCACTAAGCACTAGAAACTACTTAAATATATACTTTCTATCTCTACAGATAGGATTTCCTCTTCTATAGACTCAGTGACTAGGGTAGTGGGGGGTAAGTATGTCAGAGACAATAAGGTTGGCTCTAGAGCTGTTGTACATGAAGTCGTTATAAGTCACAAGCAACTTGAGAGCACATAAAAATGACAATAGATGACATATATACAGAATGATACTTCATGTGACCTTAAGTGTCTGACTTCTTTCCTCTACTTTCAATGTTTACAGTCAATACAATATAAGAAATTAAATATCTTCACTGATGTAATGTTAAGGGCCTAATAATTGAAGTATATGATTTTTATTTAGGAATTAAGATGTCTAAACTGTATTAATATTTATGCCTTGTTTGCATCAACTGAGTTGATGGAATTAAATGTATGATAAAGAGACTTGTAGAATTATATATTAAAAAGGAATTCTAAACATAAAAAAAATATTACCTTTACTAAAGGCACAGGTAAGTATTTCAGACTTCATCTAAATTCTGAGTAACTCTGATTTAATTCTACAGGTATTTAACAGAATTTGTAAACCTAGGCAATGTTTCAGCTCTTCGAACTTTCAGAGTCTTGAGAGCTTTGAAAACTATTTCTGTAATTCCAGGTAAGAAGTAACTGGTATGCAGCCTTAGGCCACTCATAACTCCAACTATTTGGGAGTTGTTCTTTGTTTGTTGTGTGTGTGTGTTGTCATTGTGTTTGTATATAAACTTATTACAGATATGTGACAGAGTTTGTGGACCTGGGCAATGTCTCAGCGTTGAGAACATTCAGAGTTCTCCGGGCATTGAAAACAATTTCAGTCATTCCAGGTGAGAGTGGGATTAAACACCGAGGCTGACTTTGATCTCTTTGGAAGAGAGACAAGAAAAATCTTTATCTTTTGCAATTTTAATTATGTTTCATTTCTGAATTTATGTTTTGAAAATAAGAATTCCAAGTCACCCTGGATGTTTAATTAGTTGCATGGATCTTGGAGGATGAATATGGCCACGTGGCTCACATCTCCTCTTGAAATTTCCCCTCCTGGATTAAGAGTTCATTTTTTCATTTTATTTATCCAGGAATGAAAATTTCAATTATATTTAATTGTCCTTTATATAGTCAAGAAAAGTGATAATTAGTATCAGCATGGGGTTATTGCATGATATGCTGTTTAAATTTTTCTTCAGAATAACATTTCCTAATTGAAAATTAATTCTTTGTAACTTTTCACTATGTGCTCAAGTCTTATTTGTTTGAGTATCATTATGGAGAGATGGTTATTTTGAAAAGCATTTTATGAGTCAGAACTTTTAAAGCTGATTTTAAAAAACAACAACAATAACAACAAGGAGTGTGGATGTGGCTTGTGTACCAAATTCTTTATTTTAAAAATTTGAGTACATGTTGTCCCTGATTTACAACATATTCTGGTTGTAATAAACTTCACTGAAGACTATCTGAGTTTGTTTGTACGCCTCATCATTAATAATATGCGCTACATACACTGAGGGTGTAATTTGCTGTCATTGTGGCTGCTGAAAATTGTTATGTAATGTTTCTAACTCCCAAAGACAAATAGAAATTACTATTATAAAGATATTGATAATAAAGTAAATAATAATGCAAAGCTAAAAAAATGAAGCATTCAGTTTATGTCAGGATCAGCATATGGCAGAGTCATCGGAATAGATTCTTGCTGTAAATTGGTGATTACCTGTACTCCTTAGGAATCGTTTTAATTATTTTATAGAAATAAAGTATATGTAAAATGGTAAATCCACCCCTTTGAGTTTATAGTGTTTTTTTTAAAATTTAGTGATTTAAGGTCATTGATTTGCTATAATGCATGTATCTCAAGGAAAGCTTGTTTTGTTTCTGTTTTTCATTCACACACTTTATTTCTTTCTGAGCTGTTTGCTTTCTCCTTCCAGGCTTGAAGACCATTGTGGGGGCTCTGATCCAGTCGGTGAAGAAGCTCTCAGACGTCATGATCCTGACCGTGTTCTGTCTGAGTGTGTTTGCTCTCATTGGGCTGCAGCTCTTCATGGGCAACCTGAAGCATAAATGTTTTCGAAATACACTGGAAAATAATGAAACCTTAAAGAGCATTATGGAAACCTTCACTGAGGAAGAAGATTATAAAAGTAAGAATGTCCTTGCAATTGTCAAAAGATAGATGTAAGGCTAAATGCATTTCTCTCTTTAACAGTGACAGGTTACTCTCATTTAAATTCTTTTAAAATTGCTCAACTATACAAATTTACTACATGGGTAATTTGAAGCATGCTTTATGTAAATTCTAAGCTTTCTGGCAACTCTAGTCAACACAGGATCATTTAATAATTCTCAGTTTATAGAATATGAAAGAAGATATGTTTATTCCAGAAATAAATATAACTTTGAGTTAATAATATAACTAATCAGTACATTCAGTTGTATTATATACATGCTTATATTGTTGTTGTTGTTGTTTCTGTTGTTAAGTGCCATCAAGTTAGAACCTGCTTAAAGCTGACCCTCCAGAGGGTTTTCAGAAGTTATAAATCACACAGGATAGACCATATTTTTCACAGGGAGCAGCTGGTGACTTTGGGCCATTTGCCTTTGGGTTGGCAATGCAACTCTTTATCACTTGTTTTTATTGTTAGGTACCATTGAGTCAAGTATGACTCACGGTGGTCCTATGAACAACAAAACTGTACCCCATCCTATCCTGTGCCATCCTATTGCCTTTGATAACCTGCTGCCATAGTGTAGAGCTTTGGTCGCACAACGAAGAAGCACTTGTCTTCTAACCCAAGGGTACTAAGTTTAAACCCACCAGGAGTTTCAAGGGAGAAAAGTCCTGGCCATCTTCTGCTGTCTAATTTCAGCATAGGAAATACTAAGAGGCAAGTCTAGGTTGTAAGAAGTTGGAATCAACTCAACAGAACACAATAATAAAACAACATATTATATATGTTATATACCATACTATGTATATATTTGATGTCATAGTACTGTTGTATTTTCATACTTACATTTGTAAGTAAGGAGCTCTGGCAGCTTGGTGGTAAGCAGTTGCACTCTCAACCATAAAACAAGCAGTTTTAGCCACTGTTCACTCCATGGGAAAAAGATAGGCCGCCTCTTTCCGTGTGATTTACTGCCTTTGAAAACCTTTTGAAGGATCAGCTATGAGTTGGTTCCAATTTAAAGTTGGTGGCTGTTGTTGTTATGTGCTGTCGAGTCACTAGCGACTCATAGTGACTCTTTGTACAACAGCCCTAAACTCTGCCCTATTCTGTGTCAATCCCACTATCTCCGACACATCTGCCCCCATACCCCAGTCACCGAATCAATCCATCTCATCGAGGGTCTTCCTCTCCTGCGCTGTCCCTCCACCCTCCCAAGCATGACTTCCTTCTCCAAGGACTGGTCCCTCCTTGCAACATGTCCAAAGTATATCAGACGAAGGTTCAGAATCCTTGCCTCCAAGAAGCAGCCTGGCTTCACCCTCTCCAAGAAAACCTGTTCGTTTTCTTAGCAGTCCATGGTATAGTCCATACTCTTCTCCAGCAACACAGCTCAAAGGCATCAATTCTCCCTCTAGCATCCCTAGTCATTGTCCAGTTCTCTGATGCATAGCAAGTAATTGCAAAGATCATGGCATATATCAGGCTCACCTTATTCTCCAGACTGACATCATTGCACTTCAGTACTTTAGAGAGGTCTCTAACTGCAGATTTTCCAGTCGCATTACATCATTTAAATTCCTGGCTGCTGGGACACAACTACAAATATTTATAACTAGAACATTTTATATCTATATTAATTAGAAATAGTTATTGTATTAATTGAAAACATTAAAAAGTCTAAATATGTCTGTCTCTTGATGATCTTGTTATATACTGTTGAGTTGGACCCAACCCACAGCTAACTCTCCAGCAGGTTTTCAGAAGCAATTAATTGAATAGGAGGAGATTGCCTATCCTTCAGCAGAGTAGCTGGTGGATTTGATCAGTGTACTTTCTGGATTGCACCACAACTTCTTATCACTAGGCAACCAAAACTCCTTTGTCTTTTGATAATATTTCTAAATATTCATATAAAGTAGAAAAACATGTTCTTATTGTTGTTTTGTACCATCAGGTTGGAACGGACACATAGCTGACCCTCCCGCAGGTTTTCAGAGGCAGTTAATTGCAGGGAGGAGACTCCCTAGCCTTCTCCCACAGAGCAGCTAGTGGCTATTTGAACCACGTGCTTTCAGGATTACAGTGCAACTTCTTGTCACTAGACCACCACTGGGCTTTTTCAGCATTACCCTTATTTTATAACCAGTAACAAGTTTCACAACTATCTCTAATATTATTATTTGCCATAGAGTTGGAACAGACTCATAGCGTCAGGTTGGCAATGCAGCTCCTTACCACTAGGCCACCAGAGTTCCCTAATAGTTTCTACTAGTGTCCATTAATGAGGCTGATGGCATCACTCTGACGTTTAAGTTGACATAAATAACTCACTAGTACCAAGTAAGATGTTCTGGACATAGTATCAGAACTATACTTTTCATTCAGAAGCATATTTGTTAGTATCTAGTATAAATCATAGGGAGCTCTGGTGGCTTGGTTCAAACCCACTAGTGGCTTCACGGAAGAAAGACAGGCACTCAACTCCCATGCAGTTTGCCTCTGAAAAAGTGCTGGAAGGTCAGCTAAAAGTCAACTCTGACTCGACTGTATAAAACAAGTATAGTTATTTAAACAATGTTCATTTATTGTGTTTCTTTCTTTAACTGAAGTTGTTGAGGAACATTATAGCAAAAACAGAGTTTTTGCTCAATGTTTGATGATTTGTTAATAGACTTATAAGCCTTAATAGATAAGAGTCACAGATAGCTTCCTGAAGGTAGAAATGGTTAAGCACTCAACTAGTAGATGAAAAGTTGATTTAAATGCACCCATGAGGGCCGCACAATGAAGATCCAGTGTTCTGCTTCCAAAATGTCATAGCCTTGATAATTGTACAGGGCAGTTCTACTCAGCACACAAGGATGCTTCCAAAATGTCATAGCCTTGATAATTGTACAGGGCAGTTCTACTCAGCACACAAGGAGTGTGTATGAGTTAGACTCAATTCAATGACAACTACAGCAACTACAGAACCAGAGATGGCAAGAAAATCAATAAATATTTCAAACATACTCACCTTTGACAGAAGGAAATCAGAGTGCAGGTCATTTTACTAAATGTATACTTTCTTGCTGAAAATGAGGAGGACCTGAAGCGCTTGCTGCAGAGGGTCAAGGACTGCAGCCTTTTGTATGGATTGAGGCTCAACATCAAGAAGACAAAGATTCTCACCACTGGGCCAATTGTCAGCATCAGGATGGATGGTGAAGAGATTGAGATTGCTCACAGCTTTAGTTTGCTTGGCTCCATAGTCAACAGTCTTGGCACCAGCAGCCAGGAAATTAAAAGACATATTGCGATGGGAAAGTCTGCTGTTAGGGACCTCTCCAGGGTACTGAAGAGTAATGGTGTCACTCTGGAGACAAAGGTGCGTCTGATACAGGCCATGGTCTTTGCAATCACTTGTTATGCATCAGAGAGCTAGACAATGACCAAGGAGGATAAAAGGAGAATTGATGCCTTTGAGCTGTGATACTAGAGAAGAGTATTGAGGATGGCTGGAAAACACAGATTCATCCTCGAGAGGGTTAAACTGGGCTGCTCCTGAGGATTCTGAGGCTCCGTCTAACATACTTTGGACATGTTGTAAGGAGGGACCAGTCCTTGGAGAGAGACATCATGCATGGGAGGGTGGAGGGACAGCGCAGGAGGAGAAAGCCCTCTTTGAGGTGGATTGATTCAGTGACTGGGGTAATCCGGATGAGTATGTCGGAGGCAGTGCGATTGGCACAGGACAGAGCAGGGTTTAGGGCTATTGTACATAGGGTCGCTGTGAGTCGCAAGTGACTCGACAGCACATAACAACAACAACAACAAATTTTCCTATTAACTAGAGAATATGAAAGCAAACAAATTGTACATAGCAGAGTAAAAGAACCTAAGACAGTAAACAAATAAAAGCATAAATAAGAAAAGTGAAGCTTTAAAAAAAATATTTGACAAGAAATAAGCTATGCTCTTCCTTACCTCTGTTCATCTACATTTTAAGAAGTGCAATTTAATATGATCTTGAATACTGTTCCCAAATTGTTTCCAGTTGACTGTGTTGCAAAAATATCCATTTGTGAATGTGTTTACTTTTACATTTAGTTTCTTGTTTCAACATACAGAATTTACTAAGTTTAACATTTTTTACTAAGATCACTACAAATCCTTTGATATTAAACTTTGACCATAAACCTGAGTTCAAACTTTGAGTAATTTTTTAACTTCTGGAACATATTCCAATTAAAAGAAAAAAAAAAGATCGAAAGAACTCAAGTTACAAAAAATGCTTTTATATTTTATTTACATATAAGTGAATTAGAGCTTAGGTAATGATGAAATTTTATATCATAGTTCTCTCCCCCCATTCATTTTGTCCTAAAGTACAGTTTTAGAGAGCAGATGTTTGGATCAATTGTAAATTTAATTTCCGACTTATTCACCGACCTTCCAGCAGGTTTTCAGAGGCTGTTAATCACGTAGGAGGAGATTGTCCATCCTTCTCCCACAACCTTTTCTCCATAATTTTTGAGGCTATGACTTACTGTAAACACCAATTTAGTCATTCATTTATCAGCAGATATTTACATAGTACCTTCTTTTTGCTAGGCATTGTACAACAATAGCAATGAAGACGATAGCCCGTGTCCCTGCTTTCATGACCTTATCTTCTTTCTAGTGAACATGAAAGAGTAAAAGGATGTGGGGAATAGACAAATGTATAAATATATTCTGCAAATACTATAAAAAGGAGGATAGATTCCAGGACTGAGATGAGAAGAAAGTGAGGCGACCTCTCTGAGAGGGGCATTTATGCTAAAATCTAAAGATAACAAGAAGACATGGTTGAGATTTTATGTATTGAGGTCAGAGGTGCTGTTTCAGTTTGAGGAAATAGCAAATGAAAATGCCCTACTACAAGAAAGAGGGTTATATATTTAAAGAATGGAAAAATAGCAGTGAGGTCAGACTTTAGTAATAGAGAATAGCCATATACTGCAGGATATTTTGGTGTATGGGAAGGAGCTTGAATTTTCTTTTAAATGCCATTATTTTAGCCCATGTGTTTGCTGTGCGGAGAACTGGTTAAGCAGAAATGGAATGTAGGATAAGGGATACCAGTGAATAGGATCTTACTATCAAGTGAAAAGAGAAGACAATGGCTGCTTAAAACAGGTGGTGATAGGGAGATGAGGAAAAACAGTTAATTTAAGGTATAAGCAATAAAATTACTAATTAAATATAGAAGAGAAGAGGAAATAAGGATTCTTTGTAGGTTTTGAGTAGGTAACAGGCTACTTAATGATAGAAAATGAGATCAAAGTGAGCCAGTTTGTAGAGAAGAGACACTAATAACAAATGAAAATTGAGATGTCTTTGAGCCACCTCATCAGAGATATAAAATAGAAAGTAGGAAATTTGAATAGAGTTCAGAAGAACTGTCTGGTTTACACATAAACATTTCAAAGATACATGCAAAAATGAAAGATAAACACATACACACCCATCTGGGCAACCTTAATGTTTTGAAGCTAGATAAGGGATGGGCAACATATTTAAGTTGAAAACTCAGAAGAAGATTGAACCCACAACCCTGAGGTCTAGAAGTCAGGTAAAGAGGACTAAGAAAAGAACACAAAGATAGAACAAAAAAAATAGGAAGCAAACAAAAATAATGAGGTAAAGAGGGAAAAAGTATGTTGGGGAAAGGAGGGTTTGTGTAGCACTGATGTTTCAAGATCGAGTTAACCTTATGAAAATGGAGAATATATTTCACCAGAGGTCCTCATGATGAAGCTTTAGTGGAGTGGTAGGAACATAATGCCAGATGAATCTCCTTAATGAGGTATGTGGTACAATATAATAATTCAGAAAAGAATGAAGGAATCAAGTGCTTGAGAAAGTAAACACAAACAGTCTTAATTGAAACAGAATGGAAAATAGTTATAAGTTGATGAAATTAAAAAAAAATCTAATAGCGTTTATTTCCTCAGAAACTTATATGGCGGCATTATTGATTGAGTGCGAATGAGAATAAAAACAAAAAAAGGAATTTTGAAGAAGGAGAATGCACCCTCTTAGAGAATAAGAGTTCATTTGATATTGGAGTAAAAAATTAACTCCCACTCTCCTCTTTTGTCTAAAGTAAACTAGCAGGATCCATTCTTACCACAATCTAACAGCCAGGGTCTGTGTGCTTGCTCCCAAACAGCTATATATTGGTGGAGAAGATGACAGCCTTATAAATGATTATTTTGAAATGAACCATCTCTAGTACCACATTTGTGTATACAAGGTTCTTCTTCAAACAACCATAGGGATATTTTTAAATGTAAATGAGATTTCATAGCTCCACTTCCTCCATCTTTGTTTGTAATTACTTAAAAAATAAAATCCGGCGAGCTCTGGTGGCCTAGTGGCAGGAAACTGCACTGCAATCCCAGAGGTGCGCTGTTCAAATCCACCAGATGCTCTGCTGAAGAAGGAGGAAAAATCGCCTCCTGTACCAGTCAGATCCAATTTGACGGTACACACCATAAAATTAAAAAAAAAAAAATCCAAACTCCTCTTCATTTAAAGCAAATTCCTACATGATCCATTTCCTACTTATTTCACCACCACAAATCTCATCTGTTATACTTACGCCAGTTTGCCCACCTTGCTGTATTTCCCATATATTTCTTTTGAGAGCCATTGCTCTTGGTCTTAAACCTACTCAGATAACTCTTTTATAAGCTCTTTGCATGGGCAGTTTTTTCTTTCATCCAAATCTCTGTTCAATACTATATCCTCAGAGAGGCCTTCCCTAAGCACAGTTTCTAATATTCACTATTTTTTAAAATATTTATCTGTAGCTAAAATATTTTGTACATTATAGAAAATTAAATTGTTTAATGTTCGTCTCCATTGCCAACTTTCACCCACCCAGACAAAACAAAAGCACATAAAATTAGCTATACTGATGATGCTCAGGGTCATATTCTCAGCCTATCACCAAAAAAGCTAGTTTTAAAAAATATTTAAAGGAGGATAAATAAATAGATGCATCTTACCTGAGATCAGCTCTAAATAGGAGTAGATACGGACATTCAGCTGTAAATTTACAATCTATCATAGCTTATACACAATAATGAAATATTGCTGAAATTCTTTCTAAACAGAGTATTTTTACTACTTGGAAGGATCCAAAGATGCTCTCCTTTGTGGTTTCAGTGGAGATTCAGGGTAAGTAATACATGCTGTTTTTAAATCTACTTCCTATAAAAGAGAGACAAGTATGTTCAATCAGTTTGCTAATCAAAACCTTACATTCTACATTGTTTTCATGTATTTACATTTTTTGACTCTTTCAGACCAAATTGGCCCCAAATCAGTTAGCATTAACTACTGCACTAAAAGTTGAGTTCAAACTATCCAGTGAGAACTCAGGAGAAAGTTCCCGCAATCTGTTCCCATAAAGATTATTGTTATTGTTGTTACTCTGTACCATCAAGTTGGAACCAACCCATACCTGACCCTCGGGTGGGTTTTCAAAGGCAGTTAATTGCATGGAAGGAGAGTGCCCATTCTTCTCCCAAGGAGCAGCTGGTAGATTCGAACCATCTGCCTTTGGGATTGCAGTGCAGATGCTTACCATTAGGCCGCCAGAGCCTCCTGAAATGATTATTGTCCATAAAACGATGTGAAGCAGTTTTGTTCCAGAAGTCCTGGAGATCACAAGTCGGAATTGACTCAATGACAGGGATTTGTTTCTTTAGCTTTAGTTCCAAAGTGAGCCCAGGCTTGGACTGTCAATACTGCAGACCTTTGAAAAGAATACTTTGAGTTCATTCCTGAATTAAAACAAGCTAAAAGTCATTCAACTAGAAAACTGAAGCAAGTAGAGAAAATTGTTTTTAGGGCGAATATCTATAAAATATTACCTACATAGTTTGAGATTTTTTTTAAAAAGATTAACAAAATTTGCCCATCCATGAATTCTGATGGCACCCTAGTGGCAGAGTTGTTAAATGCTTGACTACTAAATTAATCGCTGCTGGTTCAAATATAACAGGCATTCTATTGGAGAAAGATCTGTCAGCCTGCCTCTGTACTGATTACATTCTTGGAACCCTATGGAATAGTTCTACTCTGTCCTGAAAGGTTGCCATATGCTATAATGAACTTGATAGCAAAAGGTTTTCCTAAATTCTACTTATTCTCCTATTAAATTTACATCATGTATTAATGATTTGGGCTACTATTATTTTGGGCAAAGATATTTTACAAATCTCATACTTTTGCAAAACCCAATATGCACACTCTTGTTGTTTTTGTTATTGATTGCTGTCGAGCACGACTCATAGTAACCCTCTGAACAAAATACCTGAAACCTTTCTTTATCGTTTCTCAAAGTTCATAGAGTATACAGAGGCATGTTGTTTAAGAAGTGGATGCCACTCCTGCTTGCAAATATGCACACTGGGGGCATAAAATAAACAAGAAAAAGTTCCTGATGTTAAAAGAATACTTTGTTGTTGTGGACCTTCGAGTTGGAACCAACCCATAGCTAACCCCCTCAGAGGGCTTTTAGAGGCAATAAATTGTATGAGAGGAGATTGCTCATCTTTCTCCCACACACCAGCTGGAGAATTCAAGCCACATGCCTTCAGGGTTGCAGCAGAACAGCTTCTTACCACTAGTCCACCAGAGCTCTCTAAAGGAACAAGATAGCCCTATACTTGTGTAATGATACTACTATACATATTGTTGTTAAGTATCATATTGAGTTAGTTCTGGTTTTAGTGACCCTATGTATAACAGAATGAAATGCTGTCTGACCCAGTACCACCTTCTCATTTGTTGTTATGTTTGGCTACAATTCCATTTTGGCACCTATTGTGTCAGTCCATCATGCTGAAAATCTTTGTAAGGGAGATAATAGATGCAACATGAAGGTGGTGGCATATGCCTTCTACTCATGTCTTAAAGGGGAATTGTCCCCCACTAATAGCATTCATAACAGCAACATACATTGCAAGGTCAGACACACCACCCCCTATTCTCCTGCACCTATTTCTACCAATCGTTCAGGTCCAATATTCTTTGTTGACTCACAGACTTTACGCAGATTTGTGGAGTTCACTAGGAAAATAAGATGGAGAATGAGAGAGACAAAGACTATCTCTCAATGCAAGTCCAAGTTTAGCCCCACAGTCCCAAAACCAGATTGATAGCAGAACACAATTCAACAATTATTGAAAGACCTGATTTCAGTTCAGTAGAACAAATTCAAGAAGCCTCTGATTTTCTTAATTGCCCAGCAAACTTTATATAAGAACAGTTACAAGTCAGCTTTTTCTTCAATCACCTAGCAAGCAAAACCTTTAACTGTGACCTTTACTTTAGGGCTCCTCTGGTTACACTTTGCCAGAGTCTCTTTATAACAGTGCACGGTCTCTTCACAATCTTTCCACCACCATCAACCCCATCAACAAGGTCTCACTAAACAGTTTGGAAAGCATTATCTCTCTTATACTAGTCCCACAGCTACTGCTGATCTACAAAACCAATTAAGGTAGCTGGAAACCAGCAAGGACTAACTCAATGACTAGAAAAGCCAATCCCTAAATTCACACCACAATCTTCCTATTTCACATTGATTCTCTACTTTACCAAACATAATGCACTTTTCCAGGGACCAGTCCCTCCTAATCACATGCCCAAAGTATGTGAGACAAAATTTCATCATCCTGTCTTCTAAGGAGCATTCTGCTATACTTCTTCTAAAATAGATTTATTCATTCTTTGAGCAGTCCATGACATATTCTATATTACTTGTTACCATTAATTTCAAGGCATCAATTCTTCTTTCTTCTACTTTATTCCATATAAACATAAAGTTATTGGCAATGTCTTAGATTAATCACATTTTAGTGCTCACATTTTTATCTTTGCTCTTTAACACTTCACAGAGGTCTTCTGTAGCATATTTATCCAATGAAACACATCAGTGAATTTCTTACGTGCTGTTACCTTAAGTGTTGCCTGTGGCTCCAAATAAAATCCTTGAAAAATTTAGATTTTATTTTTCACTTATCATGATGATGTTTATTAATCCAATTGTGAAAATTTCTATTTTCTTGAGTATGATGCATTCTGAAAGTGATAGTCTTTGTGTTTCATCAATAATGGTTTTTAATGATCTTGGCTTTCAATAAGCGAAGTTGTGTAATCTGCATGTGCACATTGTTGGTTCCAGTCTTGATCCTGTGTTCTTAATGGTTTCTCAGATTACTTGCTGAGCATAGAGTGAAAATAAATGTAATAAAAGGATACAACCTTTTCTTATTTAAAATGTCTTGTTCTGTTTGAGTGATTGCTTCTTGATTAATTGTAAAGATTCCAAATATGCATGACTAGGCATTTTGGAATTCCTATCTTTGCTATGCTGTCCATTATTTGTTATATGATTCACACAATTGAATTCCTTTGTATAGTCAATATAACACAAATAAACAGCTTTCTTTTATCCTCTGCTTTCAGTTAAGATCAACTGATGCGAGCAATAATATACCTTGTTCCAAGTCCTCTTCAGAATCCAGTTGGAATGTCTGCCAGTTCCTTTTCAATGTGCTACTGCAGACATTTTAAAATTATCTTCAGGAAAAAATCAAGTTACGTATAATATTAATGCTGGCAAACAAACAACAACTCATTGCTGTTCAGTTAGAACTGACTCATTGCTGACCCTCCAGATTTTCAGATCTGTAAATCACATAGGAGATTGCCCATCTTTCTCCCTTGGACCACCTGGTGGATTTGAACCACCTAACTTTGTCTGCAAACTAGACCATCAGGGCTCCCTAAATTAATTATATTGTTCTATGATGTCTGCATTTGTATAAATCACTTTTATTTGAAATGGGTACAAATAATGGATCTCATAGACAATGGAGCACAGACGTAGGGCACTCCCAGTATTGCATTTATTTGTTGAAACATCTCAATAAATTCTGTCCATTCCTTGATCCTATTTTTTCTTTTCTCAGTGCAATTTGTACTTCATCTTTTAGTATTATTGACTAGTTACTTATGTTGTCAGCCAATTCTTTTGGTACAGTGATTCTGTGTATTCTTTCCATCTCTTTTTAATGCTTCCTTCCTCATTCAGTATTTTACCATGTAATACTTCAGTACTGTACTTGAGACTTGAATTTTTGTCTTTGGCTTTTTGAGTTTAAGAAATGTCAAACATGTTTGCTAATTCTAGGTCCTTGCACATTTCATTATATACTTTGTTTTCTCAAGTCAAAGTGCAATTTTCAGTTCAATTATTTTATGTAATCATTTCTTCCATTTATTTTGGCTACTTTTTGTTAAATAGCAAATCTCTTCTGAGATCTATTTTGATCTTTCCCTTTTTTCCTCTCTTGAAAAATTTTTAATTTCATTATATTGGATTTCTTGATGTCAAACCACATCTCATTAGATCTTTGGTCTCTAGTGTTCAGTGTGTCAATTCTGCTTATTTAGAGGGCCTCTAAATTGGTAGGTTATACTCATACTGTTATTATGGACTGTTACCATTTCCTTCAGCTTTAATTTTAACTTGAATGTGAACAATTTCTATTTCACTCCACAATCCATTAGTTGTAGAAGGAAGAATCTAAAAGATTGGCAAATGTTTAAAAAATTTATTATTAATTTCAATAAAAAGTTTGGCAAATATTTTAAAGCAACAAATCTTTCTAAACTTATATAAATATTATATTTTGACTTTTCATTCAAAAGTATTTTTGAGCCATAGTTTTGATAACGGTTTACCTACTCAATCCATATGGATTCAAGAATTATATGTGTTGTTGTTGTTGATTGTCATTGAGTCACACATGACTCATAGTGACCCTATGACAAAAAAAGATCTGAAGCCTTTCTATAACTATCGTCATTTCTCTAAGTTCATAGAGTTTCCAGAGCATGTGGTTTAGGAAGTGGATGCTACTCCTGCTTCCAAACCTGTCTTAAACTGGGAGCTCCACCAAACACTGTCCACCATGAGCAACCATTACGGTGTTTGGCATCCCAGTGGCACAAGGTTCAGCATCACAGCAAACTCAGATTACCGCAGTAGAGCAAATTGACAGAAGAGTGTACAACTTAGAAAAATGTTCTTCCAAAACATAATAACATGAGGACCGGGGGCCGCAGGCCTGAGGGCCCTCCAGGAGGTCTTGTTGACACTAAATATAAGAGTCTTACATCAAAAAACAACCAAACATTCCACAGGACCCTCACCCTAAGTAAGACTGCCCATCTTTCAGAGTCCAGCTGTGTCACCCAGTCACCAATGAATCCATATGGTTTAAGAATTATATATGGATTGGTTAAATTTCAAGTTTAGGTGATGATAATGATAATAGTGATTGTAATTTATAACATGCTTTCTACATGTAAGAACTAAACCAAGTATTTTGCATCGTTATTTTTCAACTTTAGAGTAAATATTTAATGTTTATATTATGACACCGTTTTCACAGAAATAGAAAATGTTGTCATATAATTTCTTCTTTTAAAGAATTTGATAGTCACCAAAAAGTAAATAATAGTTATGTGATTAAAATTTAGCTCTTCCTAACTCCAAATCATGTGTTTCAATCATTGCTGAGTACATCTCTTCTCCCTTAAAGAAGCCTTAAAGTGTTTGTGATGTTTTTCTAATTCTCCTTATCTTACATTCTCAAACACTCTAACTTGTTTTCCTGTTTTGTGTTTAGTCAGTGTCCAGAAGGGTATGTATGTGTGAAGGCTGGAAGAAACCCTGATTATGGCTACACAAGTTTTGATACGTTCAGTTGGGCCTTCTTGGCCTTGTTTAGGCTAATGACTCAGGATTACTGGGAAAATCTTTACCAGCAGGTAAGTCACAAGGATGTAATGCAATTTACAATTAAAAAGAAAAAGTTATTTATGTTCCTTACCCTCTAATAATAGAAAAATGTTTAGTTTAATATAAAGAAAACTATGATGCCTTTTACTACTACACTTGTTTTATTCTTAGTTCTGCAGTGTGAATTTTTCTTGAGTCATGTTATTTTCTTGGCCTTTCTAGGCTTGTTTTGTCTCTGGATCTCCTTTCTCTTTCCCCTTCAATATAGCATTCCATAAAGTCAAAACTCAATCCACTGCCATGGAGCCAATGACAACTCATAATAACCTTCCTTTAGGTTTCCAAGGATGTAAATCGTAATGGTAGCAAACTGTCTGATTTTTTTTCTCAAAAAGCAACTGGTGAGTGTGAATTTGTATCCTTTGTGTTGATCCTCTGTAAACAGAGAAAACATACTATGATGTCACTCTCCTGTATACACTGGCTCACTAATTGGATTGCCATAAGCACCAGGTTCCCCCATACTCACTTGTCTACCCCCTTTTCCTTTATTGAATTCCTTTTACAAATAAAGAATTAATTTACTTCTCTAAATTTTCCTCTTCCAACTTTAATCATCCTTCTTCTACATTTTCATAGACCCTTATATTATCTTCATTTATAGCCTCACCTTCTTATTCTATAATTTTTCATATAGCTGTCTCCTCTAGAATGTGATTCTCTTGGAACCATAAACTTTATATAAACATTCTTAACACAACCACAAGAAATGGATATCACAGTGATTATTCTTACTTATTAAAAATAATGAATCACTGTTCTCTCCCTCATCTGTTTCAATTCAGTATACATAATCTATCCAGTTTTTCTCAATCTTAACCCATCCCTGATGTCAGTCACTTTCTACAGCAGTGGCACCGTGCAGTATTTGTCCTTTTGTGACTGAGCTACTTTACTCAGCATAATGTCCTTGAGGGTCACCCATTTTGAATAATATTGCATGAGTTCCTTGTTTTTCAATGCAGTGTAGTATTCCATTGTGTGAATATACCACAGCTTCTCTAT